TAGGGAGAGGGGGGAGGTAAACCCATCCCAGAATCCCAGAAGGAGAATCAGGGGGTTGAAAGATAACGAACTCGCTAAACTAAACCACTCACGCCCTCAAAGGTTGTCAGGATTGAGGCGTTCGGCCCAGTCTCCTCCTCAACTCCCCTCTTCCCCCCGCCCCTCGACCCCGCTCCGTTTCTTGCCGCGGCGTCCGTCGTGCGAGCGGTTGCGAGCATGCGGCATAGGGTGCCCTCTGGCCAGCGCCCAACGCGACGGCATCCATGGTCGGGGTTCTCTTCCCCTCCCCCGTCTACGCCTCCGACCCCCCCCCGTCCCCCTCTTGCCTCGTCAGCCTCGTTGGCAGGGCCGCGGTCGCTGGAAAGCAGTTGGGGTTGTCAGGGAACCAATGTTTTCGGAGGCTGCTCTAATGCGTTTTCGTTGCATTTTGGTGATTGGTGACCGTTACAGGGGTAGGTTGCCACCGATTTGAACACGGTGTTCGGTGCGCCATTGGGGGCCCCCCTTCAACGCCAGCGTTCCTACCAACACTGGAATCGACACCTTGTGCCACCACAGCGTGGACGCCAACGCCATAATCGAGACCCCATCGAAGCGATTTAGGCCTTCTTGTGATCTAGTGCCATAATCGAGACCCGTCGGGACTCCTCCGATCGAGACGTAATCGAACGTCTCGGAAATTGGAGGAGAACCCCACAACGCTCCGATCGAGGCGAAATCTAGCAATTTTATTCTCCTGGTGATTATCTTACCACCACAAGATGTTCATGTCAGTTCCTTTATAAGAACGCACCCTGGGAGCGGTCCGAGGAGTAGCGGCATCGGTACCTTTTGGTTTCCCCAGATTGGAGCTCCGATTTCTCAGTGGAGGCCTTGTAGCCCGCCGACGTCTACCGATTCGCCCCTGTCCTGGCTTGTTTGCCGATTTCTCCGCCAGTCCAATGCATTTCGATCACCGATCCGACTTATCGATTCGATTCTGGGTTCTCCGGTGGGTGGAGTGTTGAGACCGCCCTGGACTATTCCACCGCGGCGGGACGCGGTCGGTAAGTCGCCGTCGCCGTCGCCCGTCCGCGAACGTCCTCCACAGCTTTGCGCGCTTACAGCTGCCGCTCGGCGAGCCTCAGGCAGCCTGGCGCGGCGCAATCAGCTCCCGGCTGCGAGCAATTGAGGGGGCCTGAGGCCAGCCAGGACGACCTGGGGTGGCTGTCTGTGCGCAAGCTGGAGCTTTACCACGCGCCCAGCTCTTGCACGATCAGGTAGGGATGGGGGTTGGGGCTAGGGCCAGGTGTACCACGAGCCCGATGAAGACGCAGCCTTCCGCGGCTCAGGGGGTCGAGGCGGAAGTCTTGGGGAGAGGGCAAACCACGAACGCCGCGAAAGTACATCCCGCGACCCATGGGGGGGGGAGGAAGGCCAGGAAGGCCTGGGATGGGCTCCCCAAGAGAAGGAGGAGGAGGAGGAGGAGGAGGAGGAGGAGGAGGTAGAGGAGTTCGACCGCCGTGAGTGAGTGAGTGAGTGAGTGAGGTAGAGGAGGAGAGAGAGGAGGAGGTGGAGGAGGAGGAGGAGGAGGAGGTACAGGATGTACAGGAGGAGGAGGAGGAGGAGGAGGAGGAGCAGGAGGAGGAGGAGGGGCCAACAGAAGTGATGAAGCTGAACCGGGGCACACTTCGCCTGGCCCATGGGCGCGCAGACGACCGCGCCCCGCGGCTTGGGCCGGCGAGTGCAGGGGAGGTGTAAGGGAGGTGCCCTTCTCCAGGGCGGCGGGCGCGGGAGCACGGGCTCGAGTCGGGGAAACGTAAGACTCGAGTAGGCTTTAGTCGTGCCTGTCCCTCTACGGGAGGAATGTTCAAAACTAGTAAAAAATAGTCTGGGGACCATTTGATGAGCATTTCTTTAGTATGTTTTGAATATTCTTCGGGTATTCTTAATTTCTCGTCCAAAATCCGCCTGTAGGGGGACATGCCCGACCTAACAGTAGGCTGGAGCTCGGGCTTGCCGACGTTTTTTTTGACGAGTGCGTCCTGGATTTGGACGGTCCAGTGTTCGTGGGATGCTCGCAGCGGGCGCTCGCGTCGAATTTCGGACGGGGCCTCGTCCTTTTCCTGACGGCCCAATCAGGCAAACCTGAGTCCCCCGTGCCGAGTCCCAAGGGTGCCCCAGGGAAAAGGACTCGAGACGGGCGATGCCGATTTCTCAAGTCCGCTCGGTTTCGAAAGCAAGGCCGTCGCATGACGCTCTCGCCCGCACTTGTCGAAGTCTCAAATGCAACGCCGCGGTCTCGGAAACGTCCCGCTGGCGTCCTTTTGGGAAGCGCATCTCCCCGATCGAGGCTAACCCGAGTTTTAAGGCGGGTATGTCCCTCTACAGGAGGAATATTCAGTTATAGCAAAAAATAAAGTCTGGGAACTATTTGTCTAGTATTTATTGGGTCGCACAGGGTCCGGCCTGAATAAGGAACACTTGCTTTTCAAAAGGGGCTCGGTCGTTCCATTGGTTTGCATGCGTTCCGCTGCCTCGTTGGCGGCGAGCTCCCCTGGTGCTCCCTCGGACTTCCCAGAGTTACCTGGAAAGAGAAGGGGCTTCGCTCCTGATTTATCTTTCCGTAGGTCAGACCGAATACTGTATGTCTCCCCGATCGAGGGTGAGGCTTATGATGTTCCCACCTACTCTAGCCTTGATCGCCAGAAAGCATTTCGAGCACCAAACAAAATGCCGAAACTCGAGGGTTTCCACGTGTCGGGTCCTGGGAGACACTCGTCCGACACTGTTTCGGCACTGCTCCTCCGCCCAGGAGCGTGCGGATACTCGCCGTCGAGGGCTCATCGCCGATGCATCGGTGATGCATCGCTGGTTCCATGTCGATGTTCCCCCCTCCCAATCCGACCCCCCCCTACCGTTTTCCACTCACTTCTTCGGCGGCGGGCGAAAGTGGACGTGGGATGGTGACGGCCTTCTGAGAAGGCGGCTGCACTTCTTAGGAGCCCCCCCTGCCTTCTGAGAAGCTTTGGCGTCTTCGGGAAAGGCTTAGAAAACTCCTCAGAAGGCTGGGGGACTTCCGAGCGTTCGAGAAGGCCCGCCCCGTCTCATCGCAGGCGATGTTTCTCCCCCCCAGCCCCCGACTTTTCGACGAAACATGCAGCCGCTCAGAAAAGTAGCGAAACCTGGGATACACCCCCAGGGGGCTATTCGGACGCGCCCCTATCGAGGATGAGACCTCCACCCCCATCGTATACCCCAGGGTTGGACCCCAAAGTTCTGGTTCATTCCGAAATCCTGCGATGTCTGGGATAGGGGTCGGCATGTCCCCGGTTGTCGCATTTCCCCCTCCAGGGCTGGCCGCCGAATGTGGTGGGCTCTCTACGGTCGGTGCCCCTTGCGGTGTTTTTCATGGTTGGTGTCCTACCTGTGCCTTTGGCTTGTGCTCTATTGTGCCGATCTGGGATCCTCGCGCTGGTACAGTGGGGGGCGCGTACCAAGAAACCATATGTATGTTTTCCGTCAGGGCATGCTGGGTTTCTTCGCTCCGCGCCTTGCGCGCTGACTTCCGCCGCCGTTGAAGAAGCTGGTGCGTTCAGGTACAGTGGGCGCGCGCATCGAGAAACCATCTATTTCTCGTCAGGGCGCCCTTGATATCTTCGCTCCGCGCGCTGCGCGGTGACTTCCCGCAGCCGTCAACGGAGCTTCTGCGTTCAGAGGGCTCCCGATTTCCCCTGAGGTGCGCCTGGCGCGCGGGTTTTCAGGATTGGGTTTCTTGCGAGTGATGGGCCTCTTTTCCATTACCACTACCATACATTAGATGGGAAGGGAAGGAGGTGGAGGAGGAGGAGGAGGAGGAGGAGGAGGAGAACCCCCCCTCCCTTCTACTCATAGTAGTGGTAGTGGAAAACAGGCCCATATGCGAGGGTTTCTTGCGGCCGCGCCCGCACCATGTCCGTTCACTGTCGCTGGACTCGGGCCCAAGCCTCTGGAGGCAAAGCAGCTCGGATGAGCCACTTGCAGTGTCGACGTAGTTGAGAGGGATGCCGTGACGAAGGGTCCCAATAGTTCTCTCGATGTTTTTGTTCTCCAGGCTTTGTGAGCTTTTACCGGGAGCTAGCGAGATTCGTTGTTATTTGGGCGATGTCTGTAGTAACCTCTGCCACACAAATATACAGAACCCTAACACAGATCCTTCGTGGGCCCCAGCAGAGAAATGTGGCGGTGTATATATACCACTGAGGGTCGACGACCTGATACACCGCCGCCCTCCCTGAAGGCGCATGCAACATTCATCGGAGGGCGTCTGTGTAGATCTCTTCGTGGCGTGCAGCAGCGTTGGCACGTTTGGACAATCACGACGTCGGAGCTCTTGGCCACGAGCCTCGAACTCGACCCCTGGACTTGGCACAGGGCGGGGCTCGGCCAGCATATCGAGGGGAGGCCGGCCGAGGCCGCGAGGAGCCTTCCACAGGCAGAATGGAATAAACGAGCAACGCCAACAGAAACTAGTCTCCTCCTCCCCCTCATCCTACTCCTCCCCTTCCTCCTCCCCCTCCTCCTCCCCCTCCGCCTCCTCCTCCCCCTCCTCCTCCCCCTCCTCCTCCACCTCCTCCTCCTTCCCCTCCTTCTCCCCCTCCTCCTCTTCCTCCTCCTCCTCCTCCTCCTCCGCCTCCTCCTCCTCCCCCTCCTCCTCCTCCTCCTTCTCCGCGGCTTCCCGGGGCCACCCTGGACCTCTGAAGCCTTCGCGAGGCGTCTGGGTGCCTTGGGGCACGTCTCCGCGGAGTCTCCTGCGGAGGTCTTTGGAGATCCCTGCAGGCCCGTTGGGGGCCCGCAGGGTTCCAGCTCCGTTGAGCTCGGGCGACGACGTCGACGACCAGCCGACGACACCGACCGACCGCGACGACGGAGACGACGGACGGCGGACGACGGAGACGACGGAGACGACGACGGCGACGAAGACGACGGCGACGACGACGGCGGCGACGACGACGACGGCGACGACGACCCGTCTTGCAGAGGCCAGCGCGCCCACAAGTACAGGGACGGGCAGCGCGACATGCGGAACGATTTCCGAGACAGGCCGCCCCCCCGCGCGCAGCTGAGGCTTGGGTTTGCGCTGCTTCTTCGAGGCTAGCCTCGCATCCCTACCTCGGGGGTGGACAGAACCCCCACCCTGACACGTCGATCCGTGAATTGTCCGTTTCGGTTCTCGAGAGGGCGCCGCGGCCGTCATTTTCCAGGCTTGGGCCCGAGGTCGTTTTCACTAAACCACGTTTTACTAAAGGGGGTTCTGTCCATCCCCGACTACGCGTCGGTCGTTGAAAGCAAGGATCTCTGGATTCCCAGATCCCAATCTACTTCCAGCGGGGCTCTACTTCAAACATGATATGCCGTTGCTGTGCTTTGATATTATCAGGGAGGGTCTGAGCCCGATCTACCTAATCCGCCTTCCTGCCTCATGTGTTTACCTACTTCTTCCGACCGACGTCCTGGGCCGCGCCGACGTAGAAGCTCATGCCGCTTGCCTGCTGAAGGGTCTTAGACCCACTCCGGCCTGCGAGCCACAGCCCCTTACCCAGGCAGCAGGGAAACCATCCCTCTGATGGCTGCGCCCAGCCGCCTTCGCGGGCGGGGGCTCGCGCAAGGCGACGACGTCGTAGTGCAGAGAGGAGGAGGAGGAGGAGGAGGAGGAGGAGGAGGAGGAGGAGGAGGAGGAGGAGGCGGAGGAGGAGGAGGAGGAGGAGGAGGAGGAGGACAAGGAGGACAGGGAGGACAAGGAGGACAAGGAGGACAAGGAGGACAAGGAGGACAAGGAGGACAAGGAGGAGACGACGGGGAGGCGAACAGGGCAGCCGTACGCGGCAACATCTGTGACCTGGGCTTCCCGAGCCAATGCTGACGTCCAGGGAGCTCCAAATTGCAAAGGGGACTTCTAGGGCCCTGCGTCCTTACCTTGCGTCGTCACTGTAGATGTTTTTGACTAGCCCCGGCTGGCCTCAACAAGACCCCCTTCGAAGGCCCAGGGTGTCGGCGCCAACACCGCCATCGGCGGGTGCCTCCACCGAGGCGCAACGATCCCATGATCTCTGCGATGGTGGCAAGATTCGGGCTTCTCGGGTGACCGAACAGGTCACCACCGGCGCCAACGTGTCAGATCGCCTTCCCCTGCTGGAGACAGCCCCTTTTCAAGATGGAAAAAGACACAGACGCAGTCAATCGTCGATTCCCCAGAAATATATGGGAGAACATGGGAAGTGGGGGGGGAAGACAAAAATCCAGAAAATGTAGGAACATATGGGGAATCCTGTTGCTTGCATATGTGTGTGTGTATTTATTTGTGTGTCCTTGGGCCCCTTGACCTGTGCTGGTGTTGCTGCCACCGTGCAGGCCTCCGACCTCGAGCGACCCCGTGCGGTCTTGGCGCCCCGGCGCCGCCCCCGCCGGCGCCCCTGGGGCGCTCCGCGCCCCCGGGTTGGGGTGTTGAGACCCCACCTCCTGCCTCCTCCTCTCACCCTCCTCCTCCTTCCTCCCTCCTCCTCCTCCTCCTCCTCCTCCTCCTCCTCCTCCTCCTCCTCCTCCTCCGCTCTCCTCCTCCTCCTCCTCCTCCTCCTCCTCCCCTTCCTCCTCCTCCTCCTCCTCCTCCTCCTCCTCCTCCTCCCTCCTCCTCCTCCTCCTCCTCCCTCCTCCTCCCTCCTCCTCCTCCTCCTCTCTCCTCCTCCTCCTCCTCCTCCTCCTCCTCCTCCTCCTCCTCCTCCTCCTCCTCCTCCTCCTCCTCTCCATCCTCCTCCTCCTCCTCCTCCTCCTCCTCCTCCTCCTCCTCCCTCCTTCCTCCTCCTCCTCCTTCTCCTCCTCCTCCTCCTCCTCCCTCCTCCTCCTCCTCCTCCTCCTCCTCCTCCTCCTCCTCCTCCCCCTTCTCCTCCCTCCTCCTTCTCCTCCCACTCCCTCCCCCTCCTCCTTCTCCTTCTCCCCCTTCTCCTGCTCCCCCTTCTCCTGCTCCCCGGGTTGGGGAATAATGACATGAACATATAATAATTCGGAGGTCCGCGCGGATTTCTCGGATCGGCGCTGGGGCTCCCTGGCGGCGCTTCCGGCGCCGCCCTTGGCGCGCTCCGCGCGCCAGGGAGGGGATTTTCGGCGCGGATGCGAGAAATCACGTGTTTTAGGTTCACGTCATATTGCGTTCCCCCAGTGGAGGCCAGCGGGCTGCCCGTGGTGGCTGCCTGTGCGCAGCCCGAAGCCCCACCGCCCCGCGCGCCGGGGCTGGGCCCGCCGGGCTGCCTGCGGCCTCCCTGGCTCCCGCGACCGGTGCGTGCGGTGGTCTCACGGTGAGATGCTCGTCACGCGATCGCTTTTGTATTCCTTGTCTTGCCGATCGGCGCGGGCTTTCGCATCCCCCCCCGTCCCCCCTCCCCCCACGGAGTAGATCTCGGCCGTTCTTCGGCGCCTGCGTCGAGCTGGTGGAAGCTCCCCCAGAGGACGCACTGCTGCAAGCAGTCGCACTACGCAGAGGTCCGGAGCCAGACCCCCCCCCTCCCCCCCCCCTTCCGCCCAGTGTCGAAACGCCGACCAAAAAAGCCCACCGTTTGTCGGACCTTTGGTGCCCACCTCACGGATCTGTCCAGCCCTGGCCGAGTTCTGGGTCGATCCTAATGAGCTCAACTCCAGCCCGGCTCAGGCTCGCTTCAAGTGGACGGACGCTCCACGCACGCAGCCTCGACGCACGAGTGGAGCGAGTGGCTCCAGGAAGGTCCAGAGGACGAGCCTCCGACATGACGGCCGAGGCGGGGGCGCCAAGAGCGGGAGCGGCCCGGCACCAGCTCCTGCCCACTGTGAGCAGGAGCTGCTGTTGGTCTCGCCGCGGGCGCTGTCCGCGTGGAGCGCAGGTCGGCAGCGCGCCGGCCCGCTCCGATGTGACACTCTTCCTGCTGTCGATTTTGTGTGTGTGTCCTCCGGGAAAGCTTCTCGTCTCCGCGGCAGGATCCGCCCGGGGCCCCTCGGGGGTCTTGGGATGAGACCTCCCGCGGGAGGTTGTTCTTGGGGGTCCTTTGTTCGAGGCCTCCTAGATGGGGTCGGAGTAGATGGGGTCGGAGGATCGCGCGGCATCGCCGATGCATCGCCGATGCGTCGGCGATGCATCGCCGATGCGGCTCGATGTAGGGCCCAATTTTCTCCACGCCGACGTCGCCGATGCATCGCCGACGTCGCCAGTCCGTCGCCGATGCATCGCCGATGTATCGGCGATGCGGCGAGTTCCTCCGACCCCATCTACTCGGACCCCATCTAACTAGGAGGCCTCTATTTGGGCTATCTTGAACGCTATTGCGACAGCTACGGCGATAGAAATGCGAAGTCGCAGAAGCCGTTGGGGACCATGGGGCCTGACTATATTGGCTCGCACAGGCGTTTGTGGAGTCTTTGGGGGACCTCTGGGGGCTTCCGGGCTGTCTTGGGTGCCAGCTGGCAGTCTCGAGAGTCCTCTTCGGGCAGAGGGCTCGAAGTGTCAGTTCGAGTTGCCCCTCCTGGGCCCCTCTTGGGGCTCTGTTGGGGCCCTTTGGGCCCGTCTTGAGAACCTCTTAGACCGTCTTGGGGCCCTCTCAGAACGTCTTGGGGCCCTCTCAAGGGCTTCTGGGGCTGTCTTGGAGCGATGTTTGGGCCCTCTGGAGCCGTCTTGGAGACTGTTAAGATGGAGACTGCGAATGTAGTAGGTTTCCATGAGGGATTACTTTGGCCTCTTGTGGGGGTCCTCTTGGAGCCATCTTAGGGCGTCTTGGAGCCTTATTGGGCTGTCTTGAGGCCATCTAGGCTGTTTGTGAGGGCGCATCTGCGTGTTGAAGCCCAGCTTGAGCTAGCTTAGATTGCACCTTGTTAATTTCGCAGGCCACGGAATATAGATTTGGACCTTCCCGAGGCCGGGTGGGTGCGTCAGCGAGCCCTGGCGCAATGAGTTATGGGCTCCTGGGGAGAGGAATGGGGGAGGGAGACAGCCAAATGTCTCATACGCTTAGGTGTTCGATCATGGACCCCTTGTTGAACGCGCCGAAAACAAGGCCAAAGACCACCGAAGACCGCCGAAGGCCGTCAGGAGACCGCCGAACACACCGCCCGGAGACTGGCGAACACCGCCGGAGACGGCCCGGGAGCGATGGGTGCAAAAAGGGTCCATGGTCGACCACGACACCTACGCTTCTGGGGTCGGCGGATTTGGGCCTCGTGGGCCCGTCCCTGGGGTCGCCAAGAGGGCCCGAGAGGCCCTGCATCCTCTGTCGTCGTCGTCCTCGTCACCGACTCCTCGTTGTCCTCGCCTTTTCTTCTTCGCCCAATACGCCCATTAGACTACAGCGGCGCTTCCCATTCTTGTCCGATCAGGTTTTGGCCTCGTGGGCCCGTCCCTAGGGTCGCCAAGAGGGCCCGAGAGGCCCCGCATGCGTGCCGAAGTGGGCTGGGGCTGGCCCGGGGGAAGCGGGAAGGCGTCGCGTCCGCGGAAGAGGCCGGTGGCCAGAGTCGGGGCGGCGGGGGCGTGGAAGGGCCAGGAAGAGAGGGGAGGAGAGAGTACGGAAGGGAAGGGAAGGAGGAGGGTGGGTGGGGGGGGGGAAGGAGGAGGGGGAGGAGGAGGGGGAGGAGGAGAGGGAGGAGGAGAGAGTAGGGAAGGATAGGGAAGGGAAGGAGGAGGGAAGGGAAGGAGTCTGGGCCACTGTGGAGCCGCCCGGGGGCGAGGGACATTCGCAGCTGCGTCCTTTACGCGAATGCCCGCCCGAGCTGCCTACAACTCCTGAGACAGTCCGATTAGGTTTCGAAGTACCCTGGTGATGGAGCTGCTTATGCCTCCCATTGACTCCTTTCAGAGTTGCCTACACCCCCAATAACATGTTGCAATGATCTCCTTCCTTTGTATCATAGATTCGTATTGGAGCTCCGCGCACTTCTTCCTTAGCGAACGGCCCGTACAATATGTTCCCAGCTTGGTCTCCCTGCAGCTCGGATAGGACACCTACCTGAGCGCCCTACACACCATGCTCCACTTGGACACACTTTTTTACGAATCAGACTTCGGCTGCTTACACTTGATAGAACATGATTCGAGCTGTCTGCGACCTTCATGGGGTCCTACCAACTCTGCTTACACCTCTGGCCGAGTCCAGTTGACCTGCCGTGAAGTTTCAACTAACACTTCCCATTTTGGTATGCGGCTTCGGTAGAGCCTATCAGGTGTTGCCAGCCTCCATATCTGACATAATCCCACCGCAGCTTCCCCACACCCCGTACATCTTATATACTTCCATCCAGGCTCAGGCTGTCTAGAGTTCACCTCAAATCCTACCGAAGTTCCTTACACCACTTCTCGGGAAGTGGGACCCTTAACATCTCCCATCGAATCCTACTACATCTTCTTGCACACAATAGCACCTCACTGGGACACTCTACAACTATCATCGCAACTGGCCAGTGCTAGTTACACCTCTGAGGGAACGAGGAGGGGGAGAACGAGGAGGGGGAGGAGGATGCGTCGACGACGCCACGGAAAACACGTTTCTGCATGCGCGCGCCAGCCGCCATTTACACACACACACGAGCGCGCACCAAGACGCACCACAACACTCACGTGCACGTCTCGCGCGCGTGCCCTCGATTATGTTTTGAGGGCGACTCCACAGTGGCATTTTCTAGAGCAAAGGAGGGGGAATGCTTTGCAGATGATGGGGGGAATCGTGTGCGCAGAGGGGGGGAGAGGTGGGAGTGGCGGGGGCCCTACGTGGGTAAAAGGGAAAGTCTGGAGCAGGGCGGGGGGAGGACGGGGGAGGTGAAGACGAGGGGAGGGGGGCAAGGAGGAGGAGGAGGAGAAGGAGGAGGAGGGGGAGGAGGAAGAGGAGGAGGAGGAGGAGGGAGGGGAAGGGACGGACAAGTGTGGATGTTGAGTTGGAGGGGGGTGATGCTGGAGGAGACGCAGAGGAGTATTGGGAGGTTGGCGACGGGAACAAGGAGTGATTCTGATTGGTATAGGGAGGCGGTAGAGAAAGATGATGACGGAATGGGAGGACGAGATCAACGATGACGAACGATCAAGAGGATGATGATGATGATGAGGAGGAGGAGGAGGAGGAGGAAGAGGAGGAAGAGGAGGAGGAGGAGGATGGGCCCAATACCATGAATAGGCGTTGCCATCATGCGTGTATGCCTGTGTGTGTTTGTGTGTGCGCGTTTATGTTGGTATGCGCACATGCTCTTATTACTTACGCAGGTGGTGTACGAAATGCGACCTCAACGAGAGGGCCATGGCAGTACCCTTTCCTGCTCGACGGAGTGTGTGCGAACGATGTTTCTTTCTGGCATGCTAGCACAAGGTGTGTGTGTGTGTGTCTGTGTGCTCGGGGGGATGATGTCGGTACGCGAGGGGGCATGTCTTTGCACAGTCCCCCTTGGAAGCTGCCGCATGTCTCTCCGGTGCCCCTTCACAGGATATTGCCGACGGATCGTCTACCTGATAACAGACGAAAGCGAAGCCGCTGGGGCGACAAGTTGCCAAAGCAGTACGTGTGGCGGAAGGGATCTGGGGTCCTCCATCCTTTCTTTCGATTGTGTGCTCTTTTCCCTCGAGATGTGGCGTGCCCAGGGGAGGAGCGAGAGAGAGAGAGAGAGAGAGAAAGACATCGAGAGAGCGACAGAGTGCAGACCGCGCAGAGGAGAGGGTGGTTGGCATATATCACGGGGGGGTGAGTTAGTCTGGCACGGGTGGGAACGAGGATCACGTCGGCATACATGTGTCTATACAGGCATATACAGCTATACGCATAGAGAGAGGGAGAGCGTGCAATGTAGAGAGAGAGAGAGAGGGAAAGAGAGAGAGAGAGAGATACATAAGTTCTAGCACCAACTTGGGGAGCATGGGGACATTATACTGAGGAGGCTCGAGCGGTGAGCACAGGATTCTAGATCCCATGGCATCGAGCAGGAGGCATGGAGCCAAGATCAGGCACGCACCAGCTGGAGCGGGGAGCCCGTTCGGCAGCGTCCTCTTTTAACCCTTGGCCGCTTCCGATGCCGCTCTCCGTCGCCAGAGAGCGCCTCGCCTGCCCCATGTTGTCCAGCTGCCCGCGGCACGTCCGACACCGTGCCGGCCCAGCACCTCGGGCTGCGAGTGTTCGGGGGGCGCACGGGAGGCCGTTGCCTGTGACACATGGTGTCCCAGGGCTTGGGAGAGTTGTTACATTTTAGGGGAACAAAAAGTTACATATACATAAAATTTCGGAGGTCCGCGCGGATTTCTCGGATCGGCGCTGGGGACCCCTGGCGGCGCCTCCGGCGCCGCCCCTGGCGCGCTCCGCGCGCCAGGGAGGGGGGTCGCGCCAGGGAGGGAGGGGGGCTCGGGCTGTAAGAACATTTCGTGGTAGGAATATAGAAATGCCTGGACGGTCGGTCCCTGCTCAACAGTGGGGCCCAGGCCACGCCGCTGGGGATGTGGATCGGACAAGCGATACTCTTTCGCGCATGCGCAGGGGAGAATAACCAGCCTCGAACGTATCCCTATCCCTAAGATTGACATCCCTAAGATTGACTCCTAGGGATGCACCCTCAGAAACTGGGGGAATCCCTAAGATCGCCATCGTGATGAGGCGATGCCCACCCCAAAAACTAAACAGGACCAGGAGAAAACTAAACAGGACCACAATGAAACTAAACAAGACCACCCACAAAATAAACAGGACCACGAAGCCACTAAACAGGACCAAGAGAAAACTAAACAGGACCACGGAACAAAGTAAACAGGACCACCCCAAAAAGTAAACAGGACCGCGCAAAACATAGACAGGACCAGGAGAAAACTAAACAGGACAGAGAAGGCTGCCGACACTGCGGGCCCTCCCTGGTCTCCGCGCCTCTGTTGTTGGCCTCCGCGGGTGCTGGTGTCGAGGCACGGCCGGGCGCGTCCTCGGCGTCCTGGGCGGAGCGCCTCCCTGGAGGGGGAGGTCGGGGGCAACAGCGCTGTGGAGGACGATCAAGGAGAGGAAGCACGTCGCCGAATAATTTCCAGATGTCTAAAACATCTGTTAAACATGTTTCAAACGGACGCGCCCCGACGTCCTGGGCGGAGCGCCTCTCTGGGGGGAGTTCGGGGGCAATAGCGTTATATGTCGGGCCTGTCCCTCTACAGGGGGACTATTCCAAAATAGTCAAACATTAGTTTTGGGGACTATGTTTCGACTATGTTTGAGCATTCGGGGGGCACTGTTGGGGTCTTTTGACTTTTTTCCCGCCCGAGATCCCCCTGTAGGGGGACAGGCCCGACCTAACAAGAGCGGCATCAGTATTCTTTCTGGGGGGCGCGGGTTGAGCGCACGAGGCGATGGAGAAGTGCCACGTGTGGCGAAGGAGAAGAGGCAGGCGAGCCCGAGGGCGAGCGTGAGGGCAGCAAGAGCCAGCGTGCCCGGGGCCCCTCCGTCTCCCCGCCGCGCCGCAGGGCGGCGAGACGTTCAAGTCCTCGAACGTCCGGAAGGTCTCGAGAACTTTTTGTCGGCATTTGTTCGCACTGCGCGCCAGCAACATGAGAGCAAGGCAGGGTGACAGCCCCACCTCTACCACCTGTTCTCTCTACCTCTTCTCGGGCAGATGTGAGCTTGACGCCCGCCCATGCTGATTGTTCTCAGAAGCCGTCGAGTCGAGTGCGAATACGGAACGGTGTTCGGTCCCATTGCTTGAGCAGGAAAAAAAAAGAACGTCCGGAAGGTCTGGAACCCGAAGCAGCTTCAGAACAAGAAGAGGATTAGCTAGCTGCGGAGCCCTGCGACGCGCGGCCAGCGAATGGTGCTGCTGGGGGAACGAATAATGACATAAACATAAAAACTCGGAGGTCCGCGCGGATTTCTCGGATCGGCGCTGGGGCCCCCCGGCAGCGCCTCCAGCGCCGACCCGAGAAATCCGCGCGGACCTCCGAGTTTTTGTGTTTATGCCACTTTTTGTTCCCCTACCTGTGCCGCTGCCAGTTGACCGATGTGGCCCCCGTTGCCGCCCCGTCCTGCAACCGAACGTCGTCATCCCCCTTTCCGCCCAGCGATGCGCACTAGTGGCAGCGCATCAACGCATAGTCGTACGGCCATTCTTGGGGTCATACGGACACGCTAGTGCTCAAATGAATGATCGTGTTTGGAGATCATCTGCTTATTTCTTCTACTGGGAAGCGCTGTCCACTCGCAGTTTCCGCTAAGGTGGATATTTACTGACCTATGCAAGCACACGTATAGACATAGATGTGCACACGCTGACCAGCGTGTTAATCTCTTTCGTCACGCTCATGCTCATAATGTGAATGATACTACTTGTCGTATGTGTAGTCGCAGGTGTACGCATGCAAGTACTTGTGATCATACACATCACGCATGCTGGTACTCCTGAATTCACTCATGCTCCCACTGAAGTCGTACTCATGCTTATGTGTGTACCATATTCAGAGACGCATGTTCGTACTCTGCCTCTTCTTCAGCTTCTACCTCCCGCTCGCCATGCTCAAAATGACTGTCGTCATCCTCCTGTCCTTCTCTTATTTCTGCGCCCATCGGCACGGCCACCCTCGTCGTCGTCATCCCTTCTTCTATCAACCAGTCACTTTTCTCACCGTCTCTGTCAGTATTGTCGTCGAACGGACCACCGTTGTTGTCATCATCGTCTTCGCTACCACCATCCCCAGACGTCCGCCGTTGTGGAAGTTTTCGACCAGAGCTCCCAAGCCCATATTCCGTCATGCAATATTCTCGTGTTGGATCGGTCTGTGACACCGCTTTGGGGCCCGAGTCGATGCAACAAGGGTCTGTGTTTAACATGGCGCCCACATATATGTATGGGAACGTTAACCCAAGCTAGAATCCGCTGACAATCGGCCCCGAGCCTTTGGTCGATCACCACCTCGACCCGTTCTCCGTGCCGCCTCCAGTTGTGAAGGTGCGGGGGGGCCGGAAGGCTCATAGCAGTGCAAGAGATGGTCTCTACCTCCGACGTTGTGTGTTTGCCCTGAACAGAATCGTCGGATTCTTGACGTTTCGCGTATGCCCACCAGCTGGGCTCTCTGACACCTTTCTTGCACGGAGACTGGTCCCCACTTCCATGTGATTGTCCAACCGACACGATCCATGACTGGGGATGTGCGTCGCGCCATTTTGGCTGCGTCCTCCCTGCTTCCTGGGTGGCGGTCCTCTCAGACTCCCTGGGCTGCAGTTTGCACCGCCGCTTGATCCGCGGCCCCCGCGCGCGCCCGGGTAATTCGTCACGGCCGCAGCCCGACCGTGACCCGCCGCCGCCGGCGCTTCCGCCTGCGTTTTTTTGTTTCCCCCTTTTTTATTTTAAATATAATATATATATATATATATATATAGATATAAAAGTATGCCCACCAGTCAATTAGTACCTCACGCGACCCGACTGGACTTTGACACGTCGCTGTTGCGCTCTCGCTCGCGGCTGCCGACAAAAAGATATCCCCACCAGTCGGCCCGCCCGCCGTGGCGCTGCTGAAGTCGCCGGCCCGTCGGCGTTAGGCAGTTCGGCTCTTGCGCGGCCCGCTCGGACCTCACTCGCCGCTGGCGCCCTCGCCTGCGGCTGCGGCCAAAAAAGTGTCCCCACCAGCCCATCCAGAAGCGATGCCCATGAGAGTTGACGGGGGGAGAAGGGAAGAAACACGCATAGTCAAGCAGCGAGGGAGGCTTGGGAGGCTCCGTGGCCATCTCGAGCCGTCTTGGAGCGGCTTTTGGGCCGCTTGGAGCATCTTGGAAGCCGTCTTGACCCAGCTTGGTCTATCCGAGCCATCTTTGAGGTCTTCTCGGGGGACTCTTGAGTGCCTTTCGGGTGCCTCTTGGAGTCTTCTTGGGGCGCTCTTGGAGCCCTCTTGGGGGCCTCTTGGGGGCCCTGGAACGCCTCCTGGGGCCATCTTGGAGGCGGTCGGTCAAAAGAGGGGGGGTCCGAAACGTAGCTCCCCCCCCCCGGGGGCCACGATCCTCGTGAGGGTTGCCAAGCATTGGCACTCCCAGGGGCCGAAAAAGGAGCCACAGACACCTCGCGACCCCTCCCAAAGAACCTCAGGGAGGGGACGGGGAGGGTTCCCCTCCCCGAAGGGAAGAGGGGTTGTGGAAGAGGAGAGAGACTCTCGTTGGACCACGTGTCGCCCAAAGGGCTGGGGTGGGTTTAGGGTGCAGAGTTGATGTAAAGTTGGTGCTTCTTCTTCTCAGGATGCGACACATGTGCCGCGTGCGCTGGTGGGCTTAGGGTGCAGAGCTGATGTGCGAAGGTGTTTTTTCCTCCCAGAATGCGGCAAATGTGCCGCGTGCGCTGATGGGCTCGGGGTTCAGAGTTGCTGTGCGAAGACGATTCTCCTCCTCCCCGGGATGCGACAGCTGTGCCGCGCGCCGTGCCGTGCCCGCGCGTGCCCTATCTTGCCGTGCGCTTTCCGCTGCAGACCACGAGAGACTGGCGCGCGACTCCAGTCCTGGGGAGAGCGCCT